CACCGCCAGTGGCGTTGAGCAGGAATCAATCGGTAAAGCGGCGATCGGGAGATGCCGAAAGCGAGAACGGTCCGNGTTTTGACCAGGTCGAGGGGCTGGACGACGCAGGTGGCGAGCATGCCACTGAGGCCACCGAACAGGAACTGCATACCCTTCCCCGCCTTACGCTCTCCCGTGGCCATCTTTGTTGTGTCGTGTGCTTGAATCTCGCTTCAAACTTCAGTTTGGTTGAAGTTTGAGTCGCTTCTGGTGTTGCACATACCTGGCATTCCAAGAATGACACACGCGTGCGCACGCACTGCCCGGGGAAAACAAGGGGAGCGATGACGCCACACGCAGGCCAAGAAGGAGCATAGAACGTTGTTGTATGTAGTTATGTACATGAACCAAAAAAATATATCGTTTGTACATGGAGTACGGCAGATAGACGAAGCTTGGACGCGTGAACATGTTGTTCAAGATGTTGCGGGCACGAGACGCAGGATGTCCCTGGCACAGTACTCGGCCTTACACAGCGGCTGCACGTCCACAACGACCGCAAGGTTAGTCCAAGGTGAGTGCAGTGGCGAGGCTAAGGCTGGCACACACACGATCACTCTACAAACACATGCGCGCACGCTTTGATGGAAAGGGAGTGGTACGCATTTGGCGCGATAGCGGCCCTTCTGCTTCATCACCGAGTTAGTGCCCTGCCATAGGGCCTTCCCCACGCACCCGAAACACACCGAGAAGTCCTTGCAGCTGCACGCGTGTCCTGACGATCGATAAAGAATGAAACGCGGTGAGCTCTCCATCTTCATCACCACCAAAGATGACGTGTAGCGTGTGCACATCATAGAAAAGGGCATTGCCCTGTGGCACGACACACCACGAAGGCAACACGACACGTCGTGTACAGGGAACGGAGGAAGCACGTACCCTCACAAGGGAAATTCTCGCAACGGCACAACCCTGCACGAGCACCACGAAGGCGAGTCAGGAAAAGTGCGGGAAAAGGTGAGTAAAAGGGGAAGTACTCTTGAGGACGCATCGGTCCTTGAGCTTGTCGGTGCACACGAGGCATGTCTCCTCCTCGTCCTCTACCTCGGCCTCCTTCTCCTTGTTCTTGGGCACGGTGGGGGCTACCGCCACCTTCTGTACGCGCACCCGCTTGGCGAGGTCCTTCTTAAATTCCTCCCAGTTCAGCTTGGACTTGGGCACCGTCCCGCTGGCCTGATAGAAGTAGTCCTGCTGTGCACCCTGGCCTCCTCCATCGTACAACATGTACGCCATCTCCTTTCTCCTCCTCCTTCTCTGTGCAGTATTTTGTTTGTTTTCTGGGCCACTTCAAAAACAAACACCTTGCGAAATTCCCGCTTCGAGTTTATGCAAAATTTCTCAGGTGCTGCCGAACGCTGAAAAACAATTGGCCGAAAATCCCTTCCGAGAAAA